CCCCCCTTTTCTCAAAAACAAACCAAAAACTCATTTGCCTGATTTCTCTACTTCGTTATAGTAGGCCTGACAATGACATACTTAATAAATCTGGGGGATAACCTATGGTTTCATTTATGCTAAATGTAACTATTGATTTTAAAAATTACTTATGTTTATATATTGAAGTTGAAGTAGAAATTTTAATACAGATTAATACAGAGTAAGAAATGTTACCAATTCTCTATAGAGAAACCAGCCTAAAACTAGTGTTCTGTTTCAACTCCTTTACCTCTCTAGTTTTCAGTTTATATCAGTTCAGTTTAAATGACTTTACAGGGCCCTGCAGATTAATACTTCATATAAGGTATAGAGGGAAACTAATCTTACTGCTAAGCAGTGTGCTATATTACACAGTGAATGTTTGTGTTTTGGAATTTTAAAATTATGTAAGGTAATAGTATCATGAATGGTTTAAAAATGTCTGGTGACTTGCTTATTTTAAGTGATCACCGATAAGTCAGAAAAATGTATTTTTAAACATGTTTTTTAAAGTGCCTTTTGAACATTTTTAAACAATGGATTTAAACAGTTGTGTAAAATAAATTACCATGTTTAAAGCTGTTTTATCTGATTATTTTTAACTTATGTAAAAGTTGGGAGAGAAACATTGCTTATGGGTAGTTTGGGGGTTATTTTACCAAAAATATTAATTTAAATTGTTTTCCGATCAAAGTTCTTCACTTTGAGTAGAAATTCCTTCCTACTCATGTAGTTATTTCCTTTCCCTTTCTCATAAAAACAAACAAAAAACACCCTTACCTTCACCCCCAATCAGAACACTATTTGGGATTCTGCCTGCATCAGTGCTTCCCAAATAGGTGTTCTTTTTTATCTCAAATTAACACTTGTTGCCTCTCACTTTGGCTTCTTATTTTGAGGTTAACAAGTTCTTAAAGTTATCTGTGTGTTGCATCATTTCTTCTGCCAAAAGAACCACCAATTATTTGTGCTAGTGTTTCTCGTATTCTGTTACTGATGTATGTTTTTTTCACAGGACTGAAAATTTGTCCAGGGCGTTTATACTCTTTTATATATTGCCTCTGTATAGTGCAGTTGAATACAGCTGCTTGCTTTGCAATAATGAAATATTCATTGTCTTTTTTAGGAGATTCAGTTCTGGGACATAAGCTCTTTGGGTTCTTTATTGAATGTCTAATGGCAGATTAACAGTACTTCCTTGTCTGTAGAACTGCTTGATGTGCCATCATAGAACTAATCTGAGTAGTGTCTTAGTCTTAACAACTAATCAACGTCTAACTTTTCTCAGGTTCAAATCTTTTTTCATAGAACTTTAAACTGCACTGTCTTTCTTCCTTCTGTTCCTATAACACTGGAATCGTACTCCTGGTAGCATTTAGGTTGAATTTCGCTTTCTGTTAATTTTGTTGCAGTTAGATTGTAGAGGAATGGTGATAAAATCCAGACAGTAGTTTAAAAGAGAAGCAATGGCCCAGCCTGGCGTGGCTCAGCCGTTGAGCATGGACCTAGGATCCAGGAGATCGCGGTTTGACTCGCGGTCAGGGCACAGGCCCAAGTTGCGGGCTCGATCCCCAGTTGGAGGCGTGCAGGAGGCAGCTCATCAATGACAACTCATCATTGATGTTTCAACTCTCCCTGTCCCTCTCCCTCTCTCCCTGAAATCAATAAAAAAAGATACTTGTTTTTTAAAAAAAGAGAAGCAGTGATTCAACTTTTCCTTTAGTTCTATGCAAAGCTGTCTTTCTGTATTTGCACTGTTCAGTGGTTGTGTGTGTGTGTGTGTGTAACAGGAGTAGAAAGCTATGGTCATTTTAATAGTTGGATTTTTCTTTAATTAAAACTATTGCTTTTTCATGCTAATTAGGTTTATATAATAAGTAATTGTATTTGATGAGGTGGCTGTAACTATGTGCTTAGAATAATTGGGCATAGAATGATTATTTATAAAAAAAATTTTTACAAACCTACTTGCCTGGTTGAATTTCCCCTCACTTTTTGCCTTTGAATTTATGGCTCTTCGAATTCCCTATTCTTTTATTCTTTCATCCCATGTATTTTCCTTTTCCATTTCTTCTCATCAGCAATTCTTTAAGATTTTTTTTATTGCTGCCATTTTCTATCAGATGTTTTGAAGACTTTTTAAAGAATT